CTGTCTGTCTGTCTGTGTTTTTCTGTCTGTCTGTGTCTGTCTGTATGTATGTCTGTCTGTCTGTATTTGTCTGCCTGCCTGGCTGTTTGTGTTTGTCTGTCTGTCTGTGTTTGTCTGTCCGTGTTTGTCTGTTTGTCTTCCTGCCTGTATGTCTGTCTGTGTTTGTCTGTCTGTCTCTCCGTGTCTGTCTCTCTGTCTGTCTGTCTGTCTGTCTGTGTTTGTCTGTCTGTCTGTCTGTCTGTCTGCCTGTCTGTGTTTGTCTTTCTATCATACTAAACGTCATGCCTTCCTTATCCTTGTGAGACGACAAAAGTTACAACAACAACAACAATTTAAAAACAACAAACAAACAAAAAGCAACGGCAAACAAAAAAAAACATGAATAATAATAATGAAAACAAAAATAATAAAAACCATTAACAAAAAGGTGAATTGAAATAAATGAAATTAATAATATAAGAAAAGATAATGATAAGATAAAACATAACAAATATAATAATAACACAAAAAAGACAAAAAAAAATAATAATAGAAATAAAAATAAACAAAAAAATGATAACAAAAATATGAAACGAAATAAACTATAACAATAAATTAAGAAAAGATTATACGAAAAAATATATAGAAAATATAATAATAACAATTAAATAAAACAATAATAGTGGCAATAAAAATGATAATAATGACAATAAAAATGATAATAATAATAATCATAATAATAAATAATAACAATAAAATAATAATCATGAAAATAAAAAGAAAATAATAATCATGAAAATAAAAAGAAAATAATAATCATGAAAATAAAAAGAAAATAATAATCGTGAAAATAAAAAGAAAATAATTAAAAATTCAACCCTCGACACCAACCTGTCGCCCCCGCTCTCATTCTGATAAGACGACCTGTAGAAGCCCTTCAGCTGGTCGTTGAGGTAACCCTCGAAGTCCAGGGACAGGGTGAAGTTCTCGCCCTCGAAGAGCTCCTCCTCCAAGTGCACGATGAAGAACTCGTTGCTCGCGTCGTCCTCCGTCTTCGAAATGGGGATCGGCTGGGCGCTGGAGGGGGTGACCTGGGGCGAGAGAGGGAGGAGGGGGGTGAGGAGGGTGGGGGGGATGTTGGAAGGGGAGGAAGGGGGGAGGAGGGCGGGGGAAGAGGGGTGTGTGAGGAGGACGGGGGTGAAGTTGGGGGGATGGTGGGGGGTTGTTTGTGGGGGTGGGGGGGGGGGAGGAAGGTGGTTGAGGGTGTGATCCGGGATTAATGAGGATGGGGGGGTGAGGGTATGATGAGGATGGTGGGGAGGGGGAGGGATGGTGAAGATGGTGGTGGGGGGATGGTGGAGGATGGTAGGGGGGGGGGTGAGGATAGTGGTGGTGGTGATAAAGAGGAGGAGGAGAAGAGTGAGGAAACTGATGATGACAATGATGAGGAGGAGAAATATGATACAAATAGCTGAAACAACAACCACAATATCAACATAAATTGGCGAGTGTCTCCTAATCTTAACCAAATTTACCTTCATAGAAAACGTCAAATATTCTCACACAGACTATGATAAATCGATAAAAATACCCAGGTAAAAATATAGAGGTTATATTACTATTCATAAACCATCTTATCTTTACCGCATACCGCTTTTTATCGAAATCATTATGACTCTCATAACGTCCTTGGAGACAGAGTGACAGCAAAAGTCTTAAATAAGTATCGTTTAAGAACAGCGTGAACACAGTGTGCTTGAGGCGTGATATTAAAGCGAATTGAAGGAACCAGCGCCCTTAGAGGCTGCTTTTGTCCCTTCGCTAATTGCATTACGTAAATGTTAAAATGTTCCTCATACTTTATTTTCTACTTTCATATTTTCTAGTGTTGAGAATGTTGTATATCTCTCTCTCTCTCTCTGTCTCTCTGTCTCTCTCTCTCACTCTCTCTCTCACTCTCTCTCTCTCTGTCTATCTATCTATCTATCTCTATCTATCTATCTATCTATCTCTGTCTCTCCCTCTCCCTCTCTCTCCGTCTCTCTCTCTCTCTCTCTCTTTCTCCCTCCCTCCCTCCCCCTCCTCTCTCTCTCTCTCTTTCTCCCTCCCTCCCTCTCTCTCTCTCTCTCTCTCTCTCTCTCTCTCTCTCTCTCTCTCTCTCTCTCTCTCTCTCTCTCTCTCTCTCTCTCTCTCTCTCTCTCTCCCTCTCCCTCTCCCTCTCCCTCTCCCTCTCCCTCTCCCTCTCCCTCTCCCTTTCTCTCTCCCTCTCTCTTTCTCTCTCTTTCTTATCAATAAAGATAACACCACCGCGATGTCACTTACCATTATAGTATCCTGCTGTATGTCGATGTCAGCCACATGCAGCGTGATGTTGGAGGCCTTCGTCAGCGCCGTCAGCTCGATGTCCACGTGCCCCAAAACACTGAAGTTCCCATTCAGAAAGGGCTGGAGTCTGACCTCGTAATGAACCGGTTTCAGAGCCGTGGGGAGCCTGAAACCGGCGGGAGGGGGGGGTTCCCTGGCCAGGTAGCCCCAGACCGCCCCCCCTATGAGGACGGCCATGGCCAGGATGCCCCCGCCGATGGCCACCGCCCAACGCATCCTGTTCTTCCTCGATTCCTTCATCCTGGACAGAGGGCGATGGGAAGAGCGATTTGTAGGCCTTTTGGGGAGAGAGTGAGATAGAGAGAGAGATAGATAGATAGAGAAAGAGAGAGAGAGAAAGAGATATATATATATATATATAGAGAGAGAGAGAGAGAGAGAAGGAAGGAGAGAGAGAGAGAGAGAAGGAAGGAGAGAGAGAGAGAGAGAGAGAGAAAGAGAGAGAGAGAGAGAGAGAGAGAGAGAGAGAGAGAGAGAGAGAGAGAGAGAGAGGGAGAGAGAGAGAGAGAGAGAGAAAGAGAGAGAGAGAGAGAGAGAGAGAGAGAGAGAGAGAGAGAGAGAGAGGAGAGAGAGAGAGAGAGAGAGAGAGAGAGAGAGAGAGAGAGAAGCAGAGAGAGAGAGAGAGAGAGAGAGAGAGAGAGGAGGGGGAGGGAGCAAGAGAGACAGACAGAGAGGAGGGGGGAGTGATTAATACGAGTAACGTAAAGTAAATTCGCGATGTACAGTTATGCACAGCGATTTATGGTGATGCTGAATAATGTAAGGATAAATGATAATATACAACGATTTTTTTCCAAATTGTATTTTTAATATACTATATGCGAGATACAGTAATGCACTGCGTAATATATTCTAAGCAATATGATATCAATATACGATGTACATGTACACCCAGCGAACGTTTTCGCTGAACATTAGGAGAATATGAATGTGGGAAGATATGGTTCATCTAGATAAAATAAAAAGACTATTCGATATAGTTTTAGAAGATATACGATATATAGCTATACAAAGCAAGACATGGTGATTCTAATGTATATAGAAATAAATATCCGATGTACATATTTAGAAACATATGGTTAATCCGAATTACACAAATGGAGTATACATCATACTATTTTATAAATGTATAGTTAATCTGATTGTTATGAAACAAGTACACAATATACATAGTACATGAGTGCACAGATACGGGTAATATCAATAGTACAAGATAAATATAAGATATACAGTTATACAACGCGAAGTTTAGTCATTCTAAACGACATTAAAGAAACAAATAAATATACAATATGTTTCTAAACGATGTTGGTGACGCCCACTGCCTCCGGGCGGGGCTGCATCGGCAAGAAACAGGTAAGGGCGAAGGCTGCGAGGGGGACTTCGTGACCAGACATTCACTGCCCCATTTGCTCCCCTGGGTAAACAGCAAGGGACCTGCCCAGGGTTGAAAAGGGTCTCTCTCTCTCTCCCTTGCGCTCTCTCTCGTTCTCTCGCTCTCTCGCTCTCTCTCTCTCTCTCTCTCGTTCTCTCGCTCTCTCGCTCTCTCGTTCTCTCGCTCTCTCTCTCTCTCTCTCTCTCTCTCTCTCTCTCTCTCTCTCTCTCTCTCTCTCTCTCTCTCTCTCTCTCTCTCTCTTTCTCTCCCATTCTTTTTACCTCTATCTCGTCTGTATCTCTCTCTCTCTGTATGTCCGTCTGTGTGTGTGTGTGTGTGTGTGTGTGTGTGTGTGTGTGTGTGTGTGTGTGTGTGTGTGTGTGTGTGTGTGTGTGTGTGTGTGTGTGTGTGTGTGTGTCATTATCATTATTATTATACAGTTCTATCAATTTTATACGTATTTTTGTTTTTATTGCCGTAAAGATAAATATCAACGATTAATGATATCGCCTGTCAATCCACTCATCTATCTATCTTTCTGTCTATCTGTTTGTCTATCTATCTAGCTATCTATTCCTTCATCTATCTATCTCTCTATCTATCCAGCAATCCATTAATTCATCTACCTATCTTTCTATCTATCTGTCTGTCCATCTATCCAGCTATTTATCTATCTATTTTTCTATCTGTCTGTCTATCTATCTATGTATCTATCCAGCTATCTATGCACTCATCTATCTATCTATCTATCTATCTATCTACCTATCTGTCTATATATCCAGCTAAATATACATTCATCTATCTATCTATCTATTTATCTATCTATCTATCTAGCTATCTATTCATTCAACTACTGCTCCACTTAAACCCACTCTGTGAGTTTAAGTGGAGTACATTTAGATATATTAAGGTCCTTAACATGATAACCCAGATATATCGTCTCCAGGAGATGAGGTTCATGCTAAAACTCGCAGCCAAGAGAGGGGAGGGGGGATCTGGTGTCGGAGGAAAATATGGTTTATCGGGAGTCAGGAAATTACGGTTTATTGGGTGTCGGGAAAAAAGTGGTCATCAGGTGTCGTAGAAAGAAAGATATGGTCATCAGATGTCGGGAAAAAAAAGTGGTCATCAGGTGTCGTAGAAAGAAAGATATGGTCGTCAGATGTCGAAAACAAACAAACAAAAAATGTGTTTATCAGGGAAATATAGTGGCCATTGTTTGTCGGGCGTCCCATATAATACCTGTTTGGTCTAATCTGTATTTCATGCGTTCGAATCTATCCTTACGTACCTTCACCTAGCCTGATCTAACCCACCCAACCATCTGGAGACTAAACTATTTTAATATAAGTTAATTTAACTTAACCTAATCCTTCGTAGACTTGCCTATCCCAGCGCAACCTAATTTAAATATACCCTGATGCTTTGTAAACTAATCTAACTTAGTTCTCCGTAAAGTAACCAACACTAACTTAACTTAATCTAATCTAGCCTAACCTAACCTGATATAACCTAACCTAAGTAACCAACACTAACCTAACTTATTCCAACCTAATCTAATCTGCCTAATCTAACTTGACCTAACCTAACCTAGCCTAGCCTAACCTAACTTAACCTAACCTAAGTAACCAACATTAACTTATTTTAACATAATCTAATCTGTCTAATCTAACTTGTCCTAACCTAACCTAGCCTAACTTAACTTGACCTACGTACCCTTTGCTTATATGGCTTTATATCAAGGTCATATTATAGTTTTAAGAATATATATGTATATATATATATATATATATATATATATATATATATATATATATATATATATATATATATATATAAATGCAAAAATAAGAAAATAGAAATGAAAAAATAACTACCTCTCGTAAATTAATTAATAATGAAACGGAAAACAAAACACTTAACCGCACAGACAGTCTCTAAAGACATGATTGGGCATAATTACTGATAACAGGTATCAATATTATCCTTGAAATCAGATGGTCAGCGTGATTAAAAGGCCAATGCTTCTTAAGGGCTTATCATGAAGCATTCTTGCGTATGATCCTATACAAGTTTTCCAAAAGAAGAAAAAGAAGAAGAAAGAAGAAGTAGAAGAAGAAGAAGAAGGATAAGAGAAAGAAGAAGAAGAAGAAAAAGTATATATATATATATATATATATATATATATATATATATATATATATATATATATATGTATATATATGTATATATATATATATATATATATATATATATATATATATATATATATATATATATATGTCTATATGATTAATGAAAGTGTTTTTTTTGTTGTTCTTTCGTGCCATCTATACGTTATTTTATTTCAATTATCTAAGTCCAATTCATTATTCCTTTTTTCTTATTAAAAAATGTTGATTACCTTATTCTATCTATCACTGTATTTCGTTTCTTGCTCTGAGCCTTGAACCTTTTGACGTAAACATTATTTGTACTGCACAATGAAAGCTTCAACGCCATCTCGGCACTTATGAAATGTACGATACTTCTCTACATCAAGACACTAGATTTGCAAGGAACACACACACTCACACACACACACACACATATTATATGTATATACATATGTGTGTGTGTGAGTGTCTATCCATCAACCTGTCTAACTGTTCATCTCTCTATCTCTCTATCTGTCTGCCTGTCTGTCTATCTGTCTGTCTGCCTATCTATCTGTCTGCCTGTCTGTCTGCCTGTCTGTCTATCTGTCTGTCTGTCTATTTATCTGTCTGTCTATTTGTCTGTCTGCCTACCTGCCTACCTACGTACCTACCTACCTATCTATCTACCTTACTACCTCTGTGTATTCAAGTAGGGCAAAGTAAGTGCTATTACAATTAAATTTCGAAAATGAAATATGATTTACATAATAACCACGGTTCATTTCAAGGACCATCTTATCATTACAAATTCTCTGAATATCTGATCATCTGACGATATCAGGTACTTTAGATGTTTTGAAGATGATCTGATTAAAACTAAATGAAACCTCTGTCTTATACAAAAAGTGCAAGACAAAAAATTAAAAACAAAAAGACATTTTATCACTGTAATAGAGAAATCCCCAAATATGCAAATTTCGACTTTAAGGACTCTTCCAGGCCTTGTTGAATACACTCTACCTGAAGATGACTCAAACTCGACTCGAAACGTAGATGGGATTTTCCACACATCGTTCCTCTTTAGCTTGATTTTCTGTTTGATATTTCGCCTTTCCCTTCTTTCTGCTTCTGGCTGAGTCTATCTACGTTATGTTTCTTTTTTTTCTGTAGAAAGTATCTAAATTATGTTTATATATACATAAAAAAAACATTTGCAGACAATTTTATAATCATTTTGGCTATGCAATTAAGTCTCACAATCTTTTTCTCGATAAGCTAACCAAATTAACTGTATAATATGGTTTATAATGCATCATCAGTATAAAAAAAATCGAGATGAAACTAGCAGATACCACATAAATATTCTGTTTGATAAAAATGTGATTAAAACCAGCAAGATCATGCACGCCCTTTAAATAAAAAACTTAACCATTTCCTTTTTCATTGTCATTCTCCTATTTTGAATTTTTGTTCATGATGACCTCCGATAAAGATATCAACATTCACTATCGTACATTCTTATCGATGTTGGTCAATGTTGGCAAACTATGTTCTCGTATCTCTGTTTGTCATGTAACGCATTGGTTCTTCTCTGTGCTGTTGAGATTATTTAGATTATTACAT